GGCAACTATCTTCCTGATCACCTTGCCCAATATTTACTGGTCTGTAAATATTATGGTTGTAGCCCTCAGTGTTGCAGTGGGTTAAATCGCTGAGCTGCTGAACTTGCTGATTGAAAGGTCACAGGTTCGAATCCAGGGAGTGGCGTGAGCTCCCTCTGTTAGCTCCAGCTTCTGCAAACCTAGCAGTTCAAAAACATGCAAATGTTAGTAGATCAATAGGTATCACTCTGGTGGGAAGATAACAGCACTCCATGAATCATGCCAGTCATGACCTTGGAGGCATCTACGGACAACGGCGGTTCTTCGGTAGGGCCATGGGTAGGGTGCCAGCTTATAGCATGGTTGTGCCCAGTGATTCTTTGCTCCAACCAGCCACCAGCCAGCCACCAGTCAGCCACTAGCCAGTTGCCAGCCAACTGCCAACCAGCCTTCTCCACCAATCTCCTGATGGGCCAGCTGGGTTGTGTGTGTACTTGTAACTTTTGGCCATGGGTAAGATGCCAGCTTATAGCACGGTCATGTCTGGTGACTGTTTGCTCCAGCCAGCTGCCTACCGTCAGCTGCCAGCCAGCCTCTAGCCAGCCAACCTCTAGCCTCTAGCCTGCCATCCTTTAGCTGATGCTGTTTTATTGCTTACTGGTTTGCACCCAAAGGTCCTGACTTTTTTTTTTATCAGGGGAGTGATAGGAATCCAAATAATTACAGTTTGCAGGCCTGCACAACATATGACCCACAGGCTGGATTCACCCTGCGACGAACTTCCCTGCAGCTGACAGATGCTGCTTGGCCCTTCATATGCCCACCTTCCTAGTCAGGCAGGCATGCAAACGATGAAGGGGTGACCCAGGTTTTTTAAATAAAATATATTGGCCCTTTACAAGGATTGGGTTGTGTAGGCCTTGTGTATTGCATTAGAAGAAGGACTTACTTCTGCAGAAGAAGGAAAACCCTTCTTTAAGTTCCATTGATGAATCAGTGAGGTTGTTTTAATAACCCACTCATATAACTGTTCACTGGAACAAGTGGGGAGACAAAGTTATATACATCACAACATGCTTCACTGTGTTTTATTTCCATGTACACAATGTGCAACATAACAAATAGCTTTCAAAAATCCTGAAACCATAACTATAAACTACAACGCTATGAGGAAATATTAGCAAGCAATGTATCTGACAATATATCTTTACAATATGCCTGCCAAAAATATCATTTTTATGTTTACAGCGTGTACTAGAAACCCAGCTTTTATAAGGGTTGACTTTCCCAGATCTTTCAAGGTCAATTACAGCTTAACAGGATAAATGTAAAACACAAAACAAGTCAAGGAATTCTGTGCACTCTTCGATTCGGTAGGCAGGCATCCTGACATCAACTGTGACACATCATTTCCATTTTCACACCAACTCCAAAACTCTGAAAAACTGCAATTGTTAAGCTTTACACTCTTCAGTGAACAGGCACATCCTTTAGACAGTTTGGATGTCCAAACTGATTACTTTCAGATTTACTCCCTTGGAGCTCTGCAGTTGTTAGTAGCAGGGTATTGAATCTGAGCCTCAGGGCAGTTCCACACAGCCCTTTAACCCGGGAGTAATCATGGATTGTGCCCGGGTTAAAGTTCACACGCGCCCCAGAAAGTGCATGCTTTTCTGGAGGGGGGGGGGTGATGTCCAGATGCCCTACCGGGCTTTCTGGCAGGGCACCACATCATAAAAGAACACACACACCCCAATAAAAGCCTTTAAAAAAGAAAATAACTTACCTGGCCACCATTCCCCCTTCTCCGGAGCTCTCCTGGCACATAGGAATGAAGCATCAGGAGATGGGGGGCAGAAGCGCCAGGAGAGCACCAGATAAGGGGGAATGGCAGCCGGGTAAGTTATTTTTCTTTTTAAAAGCTTTTGGGGGGGGGGCATTCGGGCCCTCTCAGATATTCCGGGCTAATAGAGCCCAGAAAACACAAGAGGGCTGTGCAGACGGCCCCCTTTGAAGTCCCGGGACTTCTGAGGGAGCAGCCCAGTCTTCGCCCACAGCTGGAAAGAACTGGATCTTTCCAGCTGACTAATTACTTCAGAACAAAACAGGGTTTTCCTGCTTTGTCCTGAAACCATTCACTTTTACATGGGTCATCGTTTGGATGCCCCATATGAAAACAAGTGAGCTTGCACTTCTCAGGGGCTATCTGGATGCACCTTCAAATTTGTCTGCAAACTACAATAAGACATATTGAAGTTATCATGTAACTTAAGTAAATATTTTATATTAGAAGTGTTCAGCAGGCACTCTAGCATTTCCTACCATGATTGTTGTGACTTTCTGAAAAAGCTGAAATGGAACATGATAAGAATAAAATCCCACATTATCCACTTTGGACTAGGATATATGGCAGTGTGAACTCAGATAACTCAGTTCAAAGCAGATATTCTGCCTTGATATTCTGGGTTATATGGCTGTGTGGAAGAGCCCTCTATAATGTTATTTTATTTAGCATGTTTGTGTTAAATGTTATGTTTAAAAGCTTTATGTGGAAATTGTTTTATTGAAGGATTTGCAATCACATAATGAGAATAGTATATATTTGCCTTAACATGAGGTATCTATAATTCAGAGAAAGCTATTTTAGAACACATGAGTAAAGGTAGTAGTATTTGATGCATCTTATATCAACAATTTCACTGAGGCATTATTAGACCTTCATCTTCATTGTCTATTTCATATAGAACAAACTGGTTGACTAAAACTAGCTGAACTTATATTTCAGCTGAACTTATATTTCAACAGGGTATAGGGTTACAGCCTGTGCTGGATGGGGTTACACTTCCCCTGAAGACGCAGGTTCGCAGCTTGGGAGTGATCCTGGACTCATCGCTGAGCCTGGAACCCCAGGTCTCAGAGGTGGCCGGGAGAGCTTTTGCGCAATTAAAACTTGTGCACCAGTTGCGCCCGTACCTTGGGAAGTCTGATCTGGCCGCAATGGTCCACGCTCTTGTTACATCCCGAATAGACTACTGCAACGCTCTCTATGTGGGGTTGCCCTTGAAGACTGTTCGGAAACTTCAACTAGTCCAGCAAGCGGCAGCCAGATTGCTCACCGGAGCGACATACAGGGAGCACACCACCACCCTGCTGTGCCAGCTCCACTGGTTGCCGATTCAGTTCTGAGCACAATTCAAGGTGCTGGTTTTGACCTACAAAACCCTGTACGGTTCCGGTCCAGTGTATCTGTCCGAACGTATCTCCCTCTACGTCCCACCCCGGAGTCTGAGATCATCTGGGGAGGCCCTGCTCTCGACCCCACCACTGTCACAAGTGAGGCTGGTGGGGACGAGGAGCAGGGCTTTCTCAGTGGTGGCCCCTCACCTGTGGAACTCACTCCCGGGGGAAATCAGGGCATCATCATCCCTCCTCGCCTTTAGGAGGAGGGTGAAGACGTGGTTATGGGACCAGGCCTTTGGGCACTCTGGCAATTAAATTAGACAATCAGGCGAGTAAGACCAACAGGATTGATGAAGTGGAACGTAAAACTAGATCTATGAGTTAGCGAACGCTGACCATGTAAGAGGAGAAATTGGGTTTGTATTGGTTTTATTGATTTTATTGATTTTATGGTTATAATGCATGAATTGTTGTTAACTGTGAATTGATGTAATTTTGTGTATGATTGTTTTATGATGCAGGCATCGAATTGTGCCTTTGCCTTTGTAAGCCGCCCTGAGTCCCCTTCGGGGTGAGAAGGGCGGGGTAGAAGAACCCCAAATAAATAAATTGTTGTCTGGCATGTGCCCACATTTTGTTTCTGATATATAGCAACCCTATCACAAGATTTTCTTGCAAATAATTATTCAGAGGTAATCCAATTGGTTTCCATGGCCAAGCAGAGACTCAAACCCTTGTCTGAAGTCATAGACCAACATCGTGGCTCTCACTGCATAATGTTACAGAGTTAATTTTCTGATGAACTACCCTTCCTTGTGTCTATATATATGTGTGTGTGTGTGTTTATTTATTTCATATCCCGCCTTTCTCCTTGAACAAGATCCAAGATGGCTTGTACCAGATTCAGGCTAGCTGGCTGCAGAAACCTGAATATTTATTTGCCCTTTCCCCCCTCTGTCATGGAGCTTCCAAGGACGTGGTTTTATCATTATACCTTTCTGAGATGATAAGATATATATATGCGCCTCTGATGCAGGGTTTTTAGGAAATGAGTAGTAGTCATTTACAAAGCAGGAAGTGAGTCTGTCACATATATACACCTCTCCAGTGCACTTTTGATCAAACTCCTCCTGGTGACCAGAAAAGACAGAAAATAATATCCTTAAATCGGTAAAGACTTGGAAAGGTAAATCCTTTTTTTTATGAAAAAACTGCTTCCTGAAGAAATACTTTCACATTCATATTTCAGTATATCTTTCACATGAAGTCTCTTTTGATTATCTTGTAAAAGGGAAAATAAACAGTGTGGCCAATGGCATTTATAATAAAGATTGCTTCTCAAGAGAGTTGTTTACAGTTTGGATGTATTTCCATTATAGCAAATTTTACAACTATATATATTAAGTATCATTGTAATCAATTAGTTTAGTATTAGAGTGTTAACAGCTTACTATGTCCAGCATATTAAAAGAGCTGTCCTACTTGATTAAGTCTATGTTGTGTATATTATTTGCTTTTGAGTGCAAGGGTTTTCTTTCACAATTGTTCAGAATAGAAAGTTTGGTCCAAGCTAAGCAGCCTTTAACACTTTCCCATTGCTGCCATCCTGATCAAAATGGGGTTTCTCCATCCCCTGTATGCATGTGTTCACACTTTTTCCAATGCAAATGCAATATTTCTGAAACAAAGACCAACCTAAACCACACTGAGGGTGTCATAATAGCCATATTTGCTAGGAAAATAAGTCCCATCTTCTAAGAAACATCCTTATCAAACATGCACCCTGGTTAAGCAATAAGCGATTCTAATAAGATCTGCTGATTCTTTTTGTTTTCCCAGAAATGCTTTTTCTGATCAAGCTCTTGGTCTTAGCTGTTGTGATTCAGCAATCTATGGAACAGGTATGTGTTTTAATGCAAAGGCAGTACTGAACTGCCAATGATTCATTCTGTTTAAGACTTAACAATTGTTAAATATTAAAATCTGCTTATTGGGTTGCATTTATAATTTGGAATGGGATTAAATTCTTCAGATGGGAAGAGAATTGGAACAGCTGCCAATATGTTTTGAAAATATTCTGAGGTACATCTCTTCTTTGAGGAATTCAAATAATCACTACCTTTAAAAATGGCAGTTTCTTTTGTCACTTATCTGGATCCACCATTACAGAGAATAGATTCACACTTTACTTGAGGTGTGGGCAAACTAGCATCAGTGGACCACATACAAAATCTGGACTACACTTTTATAACTCCCAAAGTCCACTCAAAGTCTCCCACCTTCCCAATTTGGTAAGAAAGAAAAACTGGCAAGATTATTGGACAATTTTTGCTTCCAGTACATACAGAAACTCTTCCAAACGTGTGTAAACATACAAAAAGATCTTCACACATCCACTGCAAGTTTCACGTTACCCCAAATACCTCTGCTTTTCTCTGCATTCCCTCTCAAAGATAGCAATATAATTGTGTGAGAGAGACTACAGAGTAGGTAAAAATGCCCTCTGGCCCTATGCAGTTGTCCACCATTGGTTTTATACACTGGTTTTATACACAGACTATATTGAGTAACCTTCCTTCAGCAACTCTTCAAATTCTAGAGTGAAATGTTAACTTCTGTCACCATTTTGATTTATTCACATACAACAGGGCTGAAAATTAGTTGTATGAATTACCATTGAGAGGCCTCAGTAATGGACTGATGTTATAACACAGAGCTTTCCTGTTCCGTCCCCCAGGAGCCTGATTTGTCTCACTTTAAAGTTGCTTGAGGTTGCTTCCTCTTGCGTTTTCTCCCAGGGCTGCTGCATCTTTGCAAGAGTCCTAAAAGCTAATAGTATCAGAGTCTGCAGACCTCTTTGCACCATTAGCTTAGAGAGCAGCTCTTTGAGTTTAGGCACTGTCTTTTCTCCCAGGGAGAGATCTCCATTTTAGATTCTCCCCTGCCTTTTCAGTTTGATGAAAGATTTCAGGCGTGCTGATGGTTAAGCAGTTAGCTCTGGGAAAACCATTGCAAAGACTACTCTTTAGATAAGTATTAAGCTAAACTGAGATGGTATATTGTGTTTTGAGCTGTTTTTGAGATATTACAGACAGATATGCTTAGTTGAGAAGACTGAATTATATAGTTATAGAGAGTCGTGACTGCTTTGTCTCCAGGACTGACCTTAAGTTATAGATGGGGGAAAAGCCTGCCTTTTTCTAAACCACAACAGCTTTAGGTTAGGGTGTTAAGATTCCAGAATCTTATCTGCCATCTGGAGAAAAGGGTTGCCTCTGCAACTATAGAAAAGAAAGAATATTTTTGTAACTTCATCTATTGACTGTTTGTTTGCAACTTTGATGATCTGTGATGAACCGTGCCAAGTCTTCAAGGACTTGGAATAAATAAATGTTCTTTTTTATGTTTAAAACCAGTATTAGTCTCAGTTGCTTAATATGTTAAGTTTTCGAGATAGACAACTGCAGTTCACTCAGCTATAGAGAGAAGCACGTCGCAGTCTTATTTTTTATAGTGTCTAGGCGGACGGCACATTTCCAAACATTTCAATTTGGTGACACACCATTTTTAGGCATGCATCATTGTGTGACACAGTAATTCAGTATAAGGGATATAGAAACATACATGAATTGTAATAGCAAAATTGTATGGGGACACAACCTATCTCATTAATATTTTAATATATAATTTATTTCTTGTTTCACATAGATTCATTAGTTTTGCGCAACACACCTACACACTGCAGCTGGCACACTAATGTGTCACAACACATAGTTTGGAAAGCTCTGCTATAACATATTGCATTATATTCATAATAATGACTTTTTCGCAGAGCTAGAGATTCTTCATAGCTCACACATCATGCTCAATTTAAGTAGTATTCTATGGTGTTCAAGGGGTAATTATATCCAAGTCAATTGGATATTGCTATCAACAAGATCACAATAGATCAGGAATGCTTAAAATAATATAGACATATGACATACTTAATATATTATTGCAGGGTAACTCAGGTACCGTGGCTAACATCTCTAAAAAGAGACAGAAGGAAATCATTGACCAACACAATGCTGTGAGGGCAAGCGTAAATCCAACCGCCAGTAACATGATGAAAATGGTAAGATACAAATCTCCCTTGTTATTAGATATTGTTGAAAGGTTCCACTGTAGGTCACACCGTTTACAGAAAATCCACACACACGGATAGATATCTACATAAAAACTCCAACCATCACCCAAGTGAAAAAAGAAGCACAATTAAAGCCTTGGCAGACTGTGCAAAAAGAATCTACGAACTCCACCTCCTCCAAGATGAACTGAACCACCTAAACTGGGCTCTACAGGCCAATGGATACTCCACCTCAGACATCAGAAGAGCTGCAAGACCGAGAACAAGCCACGAGAGTCAAGACAAAGATCCACCCAGAGGAAAAGTGTTCTTGCCATACATCAAGGGAACCACTGACCGCATAGGTAAGCTGATGAGGAAACACAACATACAAACTATCTACAGACCCACCAAGAAAATCCAACAAATGCTATGTTCAGCAAAGGACAAGAGGGATCCTCTCACTTCTGCAGGAGTCTACTGTATACCATGCAGCTGTGGACAAGTCTACATAGGGACCACCAAATGCAGCATTGCCCAAACACAAATCAAGGAACATGAAAGGCACTGCAGACTACTTCAACCAGAGAAGTCTGCCATAGCAGAGCACCTGATGAACCAACCTGGACACAGCATATTATCTGAGAACACAGAAACCCTGGACCACTCTCACAACCACCATGTCAGACTACACAGCGAAGCAATTGAAATCCACATTGAAATTACCTTGGAGGGCCATATGCGGCCCCCGGGCCTTAGTTTGAGGATCCCTGGTCTACAAAATGGCCATATAGCCCGAAAAAACCTACAACAACCCGGTTCCACTGTGGCTTCTAAAACATTTACAAAATAAGAGAGGATGTCTACTTGAGGGCTCTAACTAAAATGTAATGTTCATGAGGGGACCAGTGTGTTGAAAAAGTTTTGGTTGGAAGGTTCTAAAGTTTAGGAGGTTTTGTAAACTGCTTTTTGATTTGAACTGGCTTGATTGTTTTCAACGCAAAATGAATTTCACATTTTTTTTCATTTCTCTTGTGTTTTTGTTTTTGTTTTACTTTTTACATAACTGTTAATTTTGTCAGTTTTAAAATAACCATCTGACTACATACCATTTTAACTTACTGGTACCAGTGATCACTAATGAGCACTTCTTTACTTCAATTCCTCAATCTGTAGTGATAAAATATAGGCATTTAGTATAGGAATCTGTAATGGGATCTCTACTATTAAAAACCAAAATGATGAGATTTTTATTTTATTTTCTCTGTGTGATTGACTATATTTTGCTTTTTGTGGCGCACTTCAATGTTTTCACACCTCCTTGTTGGCTTTTTAAAGAGCTGGGATGAGGAAGCAAGCGAAACCGCTAAAAAGTGGGCTGCACAATGTAGAGGAAGAACAAGTCCAGCGGACCAGAGACTTGTGGATGGTGAGTTATGTTATGGAGTTGGATTTACAATGTTGAATTTGCAATGCCAGGAGTTGCTGGGCAATATGCTTTTACTGGGATTCCCTACTGTCGACATTCCTCCCTCTCCTCTTCTTTCTGCCTCTGGGTTTAACTGGTACCATTTTCCAGAGAAAGATAACAAAACACCGTCAGGTTATTACTCCTTTTTCCTTCTCTAAGAACCAAATTATATGCAATATTTATTGTACTTCACAATGTTCTTTTCAATATTTTATTCATTAAAATATTTATATTGTAGTCTATACCTCAGACTTACATATAAGCAGCACAACAAAGATGATAAACAATTTAAATGGGAAAGCTGAAGACAGTCTAGAACACAATACACTTTGTATACAGGGGTCCTCAAACTTTTTAAACTGAGGGCTGGTTCATGGTCCTTCAGACTGTTGGGGGGCAGACTACAGGTGGAAAAAAACATTAACGAATTTTTATGCACACTGCACATATCTTATCTGTAGTGCAAATAACATGGAAGAACAACATGAAGAATAATTTTAACCAATATAAACTTATCAGTATTTCAATGGGAAGTATGGGCTTTTGGCTGATGCCTTCAAGGCTTTCTTTCAACAAGAGTTCCAGAGTCAAAGGGATACCATAAAGGCCCCATCTGCACTGCCATATAATGAAGTTTCAGAATGCTGATTAACTGCATTGAACTGGAGTATATGGCAGTGTAGATCACATAAGCAAGTTCAATGCCATTCAGACTGCATTATACGAGTCTACACAGACCATATAATGCAGTTCAAACTTCATTATATGGAAGTGTAGATGGGGCCTCAGTGAGACAGGACTTGACCCGAAAATCCAAGGTTTGACCTGGCAGTAAAATAACACCATAAAGATGGCATTGCATCAAAAGAAGTTCACTACACCAATATAGTGACTGGTAGGGACAGGCCCGTAGCCAGGATTTCAATTCGGGGGGGGGGGGGCTGAGTCTGAGTAAAAGAGGGTCTACCCTGGCAAACCTTTTGTATTGTTACCCCAATACCCCCATGCATATGGGATATATTGAGTATGGTGATCAGATCATGATATGAATAAACATAACAGTTTAAATAATGCACCAGTAAGGCCTTTTCGCGAACCACCATGAGAATTGGCTACACGCCTGGGTAGGGAGTGATTCTCTATCCAGGTACTTCTATCCATATCCATATCCATATCCATATCCATACCCATACACACACACACACACACACACACATGAATGAATGAATGAAACCAGGACTAGTGATAAAGTGTCACTGGAGACATCTTTTCTCCATGATAACTCTTTCAGGAGTGGATTTCTCTTTGAAGGGGTAGATTTCTCTCACTTCCTGTTGTCTCATCCCCATTCTTAACTATGAGACATTTGCAAGTTGGATGTTTGTAACTCTAGGACTGCCTGTATATTCCAATTATTAATTGGATAACGAATCTTCATAATACTATTTTAAAGAATTTTGAGTTTGTACCCTTAGGCATATTTCTATTGCAGGAGTTTATTGTAATGAAAAACGTTTTTAAAATGTCCAAATCCATCTTCTGATCAATTATAGCTCAAGTCTGCTTCTCATTTCAGGAGTTTACTGTGGTGAAATTATGTTAACCTCTTATAAACCTGTGTCCTGGTCAAAGATAATTGAAAACTGGTCTACTACATCAGTAAATTTCAAATATGGTGAAGGGCCAATTGGTGACATTAATTTAAGTGATGTCTATACCCAGGTATGAACAAAAATGTCTATTTTTTTTTGTTATAATCCCCGAAAGATTTGCCCTTATGAAGGCACTTCAGCAATCCCGATGTTATCCTGCAGCAAGTTTTGAAATGTACATGTCAGTTTTTAAAGTGAGGTAGGAAACAAGGGACTTTCCAGGTGCTGCACTACAAACTCCATCGGTGTCCAGTGGTTTTTCCGGCTAGGGCATCCTTTGCCTAGTAACAAGCAAGTGCAGGAGGGAGGATGCAGGAGGGGGAATCAGCTGCTGAGGAAAAGCAGGTACAGGAATACTGATAAGATCTGATACCAGAAGGGAACAAAAGGAAGAAATAGAGATGAGGCACAAATTGGAGAAAGTAACCTGTACATATGCTCAAGGTGTTGACTATAAAAGTGAGCAGCATCACAGTTTTGTGTAGCACTTTTTTCCTTTGGTTCACCTAGCAGGGTAATTTGAACAAATAAATAATAATATAATAATAATAAACCTTTATTTATACCCCGCTACCATCTCCCGCAGGACTCGGTGTGACTTACAAGAGGCCGAGCCCAAATACATCATAAAAACATAACAACAACAATACAACAATAAATAACTCATAGCAAAGCAAAACAATACAATAATATCACAATGCATTTAAAAACCTGTGGCAGGGCCAAATGTAAGGATTAAAATTTTAAAATGCTGGGCATGTCCAAGAGAAATAGGATGGATATTTTAGGGATAGGTGGGTGTGCAGACAATTCTAAATCTCTCGTAAAGTGCAGTTGGGACATATTGCTTGGGATTCCTTATTCTGGGAAGGCACACTGGAACACCCACGTTTTCAAGCTGCTTCTAAAGACTGCCAACGTTGGGGCATGCCTGATGTCCTTGGGGAGGGAGTTCCAGAGTCATGGGGCCACCATCGAGAAGGCCCTATCAATCGTCTCCACCAATCGCGCTTGCGGTGCAGGTGGGATTGTGAGCAGGGCCTCTCCAGATGAACGAAGAGATAGTGTGGGTTCGTATACAGAAATGTGGTCACGCAGGAAGATGGGTCCCAAACTATTTAGGGCTTTGTAGGTAAGCACCTGCACCTTGAATTGAGCCTGGAAAACGAACGGCAGCCAATGGAGCTCCTTAAACAGGAGGGTTGACCAATCCCTGTAAGGACCACCAGTTAACAACCTGGCCGCCGCCCGTTGAACCAACTGAAGTTTTCGGGCCGTTTTCAAGGGCAGCCCCACGTAGAGTGCATTACAGTAGTCCAAAACTTGTTGAGCGATCTTCTTGCCTCCAGTGTTTGATTTGATAAATGGGCCCTGGAGGTTTTGGGGCCATTTGATAATAGAGGGATACGGTAATGCATCCCAACAGTAGAGATTTAGAGATTTTTGAACTCTGCAATAAGTAAGTCATTTGACTTAATGTTATGCTCAAAAGAAGCTTCTTCCAATGAGCTTTAATCAGGTAGCAATATATGGCCAGAAATGAGAATGCTGAGTAAGGTTCAGAAATCCACTCTCTCTTTAGTAGACAAACTTCGACTTCAGTTAATTCCCCCAAATACATTAACTGAATCAAAATCCTGAATAGTACAAGAATATAAAAATAAGAGTACAAAAAGAGAATCATATTCAAAATTATAAACAAGAAATACATTTTTTTAGCAATCAATCCAATACAGGGTCAGATTAGATGGTATAATGAACAGAATATTTGCTATGACTAAAGCTACAATTTTATTGACACTTTACCGCAAAGGAGGGCTGACTTAGCTCTGTGGTAATTGCATGATGCACAGAACTGATTTGACTGAAATCGGGCCAAAATGGAATACTCTTTCCCAAACTCCTGGGAAACACTTTGGGCATGTGTAATCAACTGTACCACTTCTGATTTGGTTACAGTGCCGTGCTACTTTTCCTGGGCTCAGACATCCCAGGGACAGAGGATGGTGCGTATCTCCCCCCGGCCTCGGTGTTTGCAGTGCCCAGCGCTTGATCGTAGAAGGGAGGGGTAAAGGTGGGAGCAATTCTTCCTCCTTTCCTCCTTAGCATTACTTCACCACTCTGGATAGCATCACTTCAGACACCAAATGATTAACAATGCTATTTTCACGCTGAGAGGGAATGGCAAATAGCAGATAGAAGGGGACAAGGTAAGTGGTGGCAAGCTGGTTCCCATGTTGATCAGTCACGCAGCTGTCACATACTCACCAGGGTGGTTGAGGGCCTGCAGTTCAGCTCCCAAACCAGGTTCAGGGTGTGCAGTTTAGCCTCCAGCAATGCTGATCCAGAATAGCCTGCTCCAGGTCAGCATCACCTTTTCTGCAGTGTTAAGATGCACCCTAATTCATTTTGCCTTCCACATTGGTGCCCCACCAAACTACAGATATCACCAAACTAGAATAACTCTGTGATTGTATTGATCACAATAATTTTACAGACTGGAATATTGAATTAAAATGCAATGTTAATCTCTTTCTCTGCTGTGTTTTTAGCTTGTTTGGCATAATTCACACCGAGTTGGATGTGCAACTGCCCACTGTCCAGATCAAATTGTCCCTTTCATATATGTTTGCCATTATTGCCCTTTGTAAGTATAATTTTTATGCTATGTTTATGTTGTTATATTAATTTTATTGAGATTTTTCATTTGTTATATGCTGCTCTTGATTCTTGGCATTGAGTGTCTGCCATTGTTTTTTACTGAAAGCCTGAGTCCCCCCTGGGCGGGTTAAAAATAAAGGATTATTATGATTATTATTTAATTTTATCATAGTAGAAATCCACTTTTATCTGATTTGAACTGGATTATCTTAGTCTACACGGCTATATAATCCAGTTCAAAACAGATAATGTGGATTTTATACAGCTATGTAGAAGGAGCCTGAGGCCCCTTCTACACTACCCTATTTCTTAGGATCTGATCCCAGACCCTGAGTCCTACAATTTTTGGGGGTAGAGCTTTCTCTCCATCAGACCCCCCCCCCTTCCAGACTTAGTTGATAAGGACACAGGAGAGAGACCTCTAGGTTTTGAAACAACTTCCTGGAGAGGGATCAATTTGTCCTGCCTCCTGTCTTTTTGCTAGCAGACAAAGACATTCTTGTTTGAAAATGTGTTCAGACTTAGCTGACTAGGATGATGTGTTTTTAGTTTCTATTTTAAAGTGGTTTAATTTTTAATGTTTTCAAAACAGTGTTTCAGTTGAATGTCTAATGTACGACTTTTCAAACTTTGTCCTCCATTTTGGTCCAGATATCCTGTTTTAGTCTGTATTGTAAACTGCTTTGAGTCCTATTTGGGAGGTATCAATCAAATGAATAAACAAATAAAGAATAAAATTGTGTATTCTATGATTTCAGAGGGAACATACTACGACTTCTGCCAACACCATACAAAGAAGGCAAACCATGTGCAGACTGCCCTGATAGTTGTGAAAATAACCTCTGTAGTAAGTTATTGATTTTATTAATCATTGAAATAATATTAAAATTGAAATCATGAGTTCTAAACTAACATTTGTAGATGGAAAGAAACACTTTTGCAAAACTAGTTCTGCTTTTATGGTGGTATGTTCTCACAACTGTTGTGAATAATTGCTGTATTATTATGCCAAAGGAAGGCTCATTGGTATAGTTACTGAAAGAGTTTTATCCAGGGAAGCAGACCAGGAATAAGAATCAAGGATCAATGACAAAGACTCTCCTCCCCCAACAATCAAATTTCAAAAATCTTTTTTCACCCCAAATATGTGTTGCATTGGGGAACATGGTTTTAGAGCTGAGCCATGTTCCTCAATGCTAAAATAATTTTGGATGCATCTGAAACACTTGAAAATGTGTTTCAAATTATCTAAAATAGGCATGAGCAAACTTTTTTTGGTGGGGCTGCTTGCTGGGCCAGGGCCAACTAATTGGCCCTGAAAAGAGGGTGGGAGGGGCAGGAGGGGGGGCCAAGGGCAGTTGGCACTGGATGGGAGGCTGGGGGGCAGTTGTTGTGGGGGAGACCAGGGGGCAATTGGCACAGGAGAGAAGGTTTCACACCCAGCTATGCAGGGTTCTCAGGAGAGCCAGAGAGCTTGACAAGTGGCTGCATGGGAATCTCAGGAAAGCCCCACGCAGCCCTGCATGCCTGCAGGGTGCTCCTCTTGGCAGGAGGACACAGTGTCCTGCCACATCCTCCTGCCAAGAGGATTTCACACCTGGCATGTGACTGCCCTGGCCCTCTTCTCAGCACTCCTGTGGGCCATCACATCCTCATGCTGCAAGGACAGGGAGATTTGTGACAGAGAGGCACAATTGTCCCCTGGGATATTACCAGTACTGGGTAATGCCGTTTGTCTTGTCTGGGCCCCCTAGGTTTTCATGCAGTTCATTAATGAAGTACTACATCAGCTTCTATATAAGGGAGTTTTAGTCTATCTTGATGACATATTAATTTTTTTCAGCATCATTAGAAGAACACATAAAATTGACCAGGCAGGTATTAACAAAATTACAGGAAGCACAGCTCTATGTCACATTGTCCAAGTATGTGTTCAATAAGGAAGAACTAAACTACTTGGAGTTCAACATTTCCAAGGACGGGATAGGCATGGATCCTAGTAAAGTACAGGATCTTTTGGAATGGGAGGCCACTTGTACCAGAAAACAATTCCAAGGATTTCTGGGTTTTGCAAATTTCTATAGGCAATTTATTAAGGAATTTGCATTAGAATGTGGCAGCTCTCAGCAGCCACTTGTCTGCCTCGCCCATTCTTTCATGCTGATAGGACAGGGAAAAAGAGGGAGACCAGAGGAAAGCATTGAAGGGAGGCATTCCACCTGCAGGCCTAGATTTGCCATGCCTGATCTAAAGTGTAAGGCATATTACTTCTATGTTCAGGGGCGGAAAGACTCAAAAATGGCCATGTGGCCCTACTTGCATATCCAGTCCACTTCTGTTGTAGTACAGCATGATAGTAACATTACTACTACTGGTAGAAGGGAGAAGAGGGCTGTGCAGGTGTTGGAGGAGGAGCAGCAGCGAAAGCGGATTAGAGACATATTCATGGCTCCAACTGATTCCGAATCCTTCGAGGGTTTCTCAGACTGTGAAATGGGGGAAGGAGAGGAAAGCAAGGGAGTTAAGCGGGCTACTCGAGAACAAGAATCTGATGAGGAGATCCAAAGGAAGTGTATCCGTGATAATAAACCTTTGTTTGGACCTTTTATATTGTGTTTGGCGTTCTTGGGGCTTCTGGGTCTTGACAACTTCTTTTGTTAACAATAGCTAACAATTTTCAGAAGTTGGTCCTGAGCTTTCTTGAAGATGCCATCATATACACTACGTATAAATATGTATATAATGGCATTCTCAAGAAAGCTCAGGATCAACCCTATGAATAAACCTTTACATGGTTATTGTTTACAAAAGAAGTGGATATGCAAAGAGGGCATATCTATTACAAAGGAGGTTTCATTTTTAATAAAAAATAATTGGTAAGAAGTCTCCTTTAGAAATAAAACTCTAAAAAGAACATGAGAGATCCCAAGTTACAATGTCCCTAAAAGTAGGAAAATGTAGGAAGTAAAGCTAGCCTTATTATGTTAAGTCTAAGAGGAGTTTTAAATCCTCTAGAGGAAGCCCAAAGTTATATAATATCAGATCACAAAGGACCACCCATAGTATTATCCACAAGACCTAGTTTTTAAATGTTTTGAAAAAATAGTTCAAAATACACATGAGATCATAAAGAACAATAATAAAATCCATGACATTTAAGGCAGGATATCTAGAATGAAGTCAGCAATAAAGATTTAAACAAGTGCGCTATTTTCATTCATATTTAATTATGTATTGTTTTGATTTATTACAGTCAATACATGTATCTATGTGGATCATATTGAGGGATGTGATAAACTGCTACAAATGTCCAGTTGTGATGAAGCGTTGATGCAAAACAACTGCCAAGCAACCTGTAAATGCAAATCAGATATTAACTAACATATATAAGAAGACCAGAAATATTCTTAAGAAAATTGTTCTTCACTGCCAAGGAGAGAAATCGACTACGAAAAATAAATCCATTTCCTGATCTAACAGATCAAAAAATTGCAGTTAATAGTAATGGTGTGGAATAATAATGAGAGCAACAATGGATTCGTGTCTGCCTTTCCCTTCAGTTTCAAGGAAGCTTACAACAGTTAAAACAAACACAGCTTAAAAATTAGTTTAAAACACAATTAAACTTTCAATGAAATTAAAAACAGTTAAAAACTTGAACTCTGAAAAGAAAACAAATAGACAATGGATCGCATTATGCAAGATGCCTTGAGCATGTGTTACTGTGGCCAGATCTGATGTTTATAGGAATGGGAACAATTGGCACAAAAACAGTTTCGGCCACTTCTGAAACTTGAACTTCTGGCCTCAGAACTTTGTCCACATATCCGAGTTTTCAGAAGAAATGTAATCCCTTCCTACTTTTGCTGGCCACATTGTCATGAATAACTTTTCAATAACTTTAAAGCATAGGTTCTTTTATTGCAATTTCCAGTGTGAGAGGGTACATCAGACTACAGAAATATATTTAGACAAAGAGTAACATTTGCCATACAGACATAAAGATTCTATGCAGCTACATTGGATTTACAATTTCATGGCTAGCAAACAAACAAAAGGGAACTACATTTTCACTCAGCATTCACACACATGTACATGTATTCATCCTCATGCATCCAAATATTACTATATCCTTTTCTCCCTCTTTGGAGAAGCACCTGCATTCCTGCAGCCTGCCAACGCATAGTTCTAAAACTTTCATAACACCAAAACTTCAAAAGGCTGAAATGCCAAAACTTCTTTCCCTGAGGACAATGCCAAGGACCAGATCTTTGTTTTCTGCACAGCAGAACCTGACTCGCTGCATCTAAGACTCCAAAAGCGCACTCCTTCCTTTTCCCTTGAGAAAGAAGCCCTAAAGTGACCAGACTGCTCCCTTGCAAATCTGCCACTCTCTGAATACACCATCTCTGTCCTTCTCATGGAGCAGAGAGGCAGGTGAACCAGACTACTCAGGTCTGTCATAATTTGAGCATTATTAGGTTGAGTCTTATATAGGAATATTCTGCTGATGAAGTCCCAAAGTTGTAAATTAATGATAGATGTCTTCTATCCTGGTTCTATCTCAGTTTCCTGGCCAGATGTTGATTCTTCTTGATTGGTGTTAATCTTATGTTGATTTCCTTCTTAACATTGTAAGCATTTCTGTTATCACTGTCCCAGTTTTTAGCAGAGTTTCAGTTCTCATTAGCAACTTTTAATTACAGTCCAGCAAGCAGGTAGTCATTGCAGGCCTTGGTGTTTTACTGGTGTTTCCAAAATTATTAACTCCATCCATACATCCTTCCATTCAAGTCATTCATACCCACATATCATATTAAATCCACATTTATTAAATCTGCACATTGAATTTCTTATTACAACATGGGCTCTGACATCAGAGGCACCCTTGCCAGCCAGGAGCTCAGATGAAGCCATGTCGTCGACTGTGGCAGTAACACAAACATGACCCACCTTGGCACTAGTGTTGAGTCTGAACATCAAACT